GTTGGAGGGTGGAGGGAGCACTGAGCAAGGCGGCGTTGGAGGGTGGAGGGAGCACTGAGCAAGGCGGCGTTGGAGGGAGCAGTCAGCAAGGCGGCGTTGGAGGGCGGAGGGAGCACTGAGCAAGGCAGTGCTGGAGGGTGACCTGGCCCTTCAGGTCCACTCTGTACAGGCCTGGCCTGGACACAGAATATGATTTGGCCAGCTGACAGACTGCCCTCACTGAACTCATAAGCACACACCTGCTTACACATCACCTACCTGAGTAGACGCCTATGTGTTAGCACACCTGCTTATCATTAGGCAGGCTTAAGACTTTCAAAGTGGCCGTGTCAAGGTGGTGTAGCCGAGACCCGACCCCAGTGGCTACCTGAGACTGGGCAAGTGCAAAAGCAGGAGTCACATGAGACCATGTGAAAGTCACCAAGCGCTCCAACCAGCTTGTGTCACCAGGTGAAGAGCTCTTCCCAGACGGAAAACAGGACTGACACAGGACTGACACTGAAGCATAGTTTAATGAGTGACAGGTGCAAACAAGGCAGAGGAAGGCTGGTAATACAAATATAAACTTTGTCAGCACTTTGAAAACAATAGCAAATAGTCTTAAATACATACAAAGTTTATTAAAAATAGGTTGCAAATGAAATACAGTAGAAATGGAAAACTACAGCAGTTTGGATGTTCTTCCATAGTAATGCACATTATGAAATGTGCCTTTACACATATTCACATTTGACCTCATTGTCCAGAGGTGGCCAAATCTACTTCACCATGGGCTAGATGCAGACTTACAGATGTGTGCACATCCTTCTGCACACCTGTCATCCTACAATCATCTGCATCTTCTTCTCCAGGGAAGTGTGGGCACCACACCCCAGGGCTGCCAGTGCTCTCCAGACACGGGGAGGAGCTTGCATTCCCGGGGCTAGGGGCAAATCCTTCATCAACTCTCAGGCCCACTCGGCTCTCTTACTTACAGAGGACAAGGCAAAAGCACACTTTCAAATAACCCTGATAGACGTACAAAATATTTACACTTTCACTTTTTCAACAATTTATCATACAACTCTTATTAAAAGTGGTTTTTAGGGTGGCGAACACTTCTGTTCTTTTATTTGAAAGTGCACATATTTTTCCTGATAAATAAGAGAATAGGATGGTACAGAAAGATCATCTGGACCCACAGTAGGGCTTTGTCAAATAGAACATGTGCTTAAAATCATAAAGAAATTTATCTTTTTAACATCACACATACAAACAAAACTGAGGTCCGACCCACCACCATCAGCCACACACCTACAGCTGAAGGCATGACAGTGATAACTCATAATTCACAAATTAAAATTAAATAACTCTTATACTATAAAAGAGACACAGCTAGAACTGCCACGAGTAACTCTTGTAATATTTACGCTGCCGATGTATAAAAGTAAATTCCTTTCTTTTCTGACAGCGTATCGGTATAAACATTTCTTTTCAAATTTCAGAGCAACAGTTATCTTCAGTGTCACCCTAGGGCCTCCCACTCCCTGCTGGGTATTTCTGAGCACAGTCCCACAGGAACATGAATTACATGAATTACATAGTTCTTAGACCATCAAAACACCTGACAACCAGTCATCTTCAATTTTTACTGCACCCATTAGTCTAACAACAAACTGGTATTTAGAAAACCAAAATCCTCTAAGATTAAATACACAAAATTCTGTCCTGTAGAAACTTTAAAATATGAATCATTCTTTTAACTTAAACATCAGAATTGACCAGGAAGGCTCACACCTGCTGAGACATCCTGCCCCAGGAAGCAGGGCTCCCAGTGGCCTGGGCACAGACAGGAGATGAGGCGGCCTGGGGTAGGTGCCCCGAGGGCGGCAGGCCCAGAGCACAGCCACCCTTCCTGCTGTGGGCTGGCTGTGGGCACTGGAGTGCACACAGCCAAATGAAGATTTTAGGAAGCAAAAGAAACAGAACTTCTTGGTTTGTGCTCCTTGGGATGATATGGAAGATGGGGAGAGGACAAACTCATTATCTTGATCTCTACTGCCCTTCATTCTGCCCTGTGAGCCCAAGACACCAAGAAGAATAAAAGGCCCTTAACAGTGAGTAGAACCGCAAAGAATCATCAGGCCTCAAATCATACAAAGGCTAACTTCTTGATAGAGCAAATAAGATTTCTTAGGATTGGAACATCTCTAAATCACAATCATTTTAGAAACAGAATTAACTCAGAAGTCTAACTCCCCGTGCCTGTCAGGCTCACAGCTGCAAAGCCGTGGCCGGGCTTACTCAGGTAGGCACCAGGTGCCCTCCTCCTCCTCTTCTCACTTTGTGTTCAGTTCGTTCTCAAGCTCTGTTAGTTTGCGAGAGGCTTTCACTTTGTCCGACACATCTTGACCTTGAGAGAAGAGGCGTTGGCGCTCTTTGAACGTCAGGTTTTCAGGGGCTCCAGGACTTCCAGCCAAGTTTGCATCATGGCTAGGCAAGAGAGAAATACAAAAGATTATCTGTCAAAATACAAGCACCTTGCCCGTAACTTGGTAGATCTATGTAACGGTCAATTCATTCAAATTATCAGTGAGACTCATTCTTTGCTGAATGCTGCAATATTACATTCACTGGTGCTGTCTGAAACAGAACTATGTCCACATCATTGCTAAAACAGAACTGTATTAACAACATGAACTTTACAGCCTACATGCTCACATGATTCCTAACTAAATTTACTGAAGCTGTATTTTTTTTGGGCGTGGGGCTTGAACTTGGGGCCTGGGCCCTGTCCCTGAGCTCTTTTGTTCAAGGTTAGTGCTCTACCACTTTGAGCCATAGCACTACTTATGGTTTTCTGGCAGTTAACTGGAGATAAGAGTCTCACAGATTTTCTTGCCTAGGCTGGCTTCAAACCGAGATCTTCAGATCTCAGCCTCCGGCATAGCTAGGGTGACAGGCATGAGCCACCAGCACCCAGCTGAAGTATTAATCCATGTATAGGCCTGGTATGGTGGCACCTGCTTATAATCTTGGCAGGTAAGAGGCTGCAGCAGGGAGATCACAAGTTTGAGGCCAGTCTGGGCTATACAGTAAACCCTAAGAAATAACTATGCTAATTAACCTTATTAAACCAACTAGTTAACTCACTAATTACCTAAACATTCTCCTTTATAAAGCAGTAACTTTCCTCAGTCTTATCTAACTTTCAAAAAACTAGTGAGTGTAATTTCAGCAAGAAGGTACTTCACACCAGTGAAATAAATTAACTGTAAGGTAGAGTTTCATCTACAGATATACTTAATTTAGTAAGTGATAATTTAATAGGTGACAGAATAGGACTGATTTGGTGTCAGTGTTGTAAGGACAGTTTTGATAAGGCCACTTGTAAGTCAGTCCCAGGTGTGACGGTCCGTGGCGGCACGGCACCCTGGGGTGGCCCCAGTGACCCTGATCCTGGCACTGCACCTGTCCTTTCTGATGATATGCAGCTTGCCAGTGTCCTGGCCAAGAAGCCTAGTACCTACATCACCATTGGAAACACAACTGTATTAGCAATATGCACATGCCCATGTGACTTGGTACACTGGGAATCACCGGCGCTGACAATGATCCACAAGCAGTGAGCGTGGCCATGGGTCACCGTGGGTGCCGTACCTTCTAGCGAGCTGCTCTCTTGGGTCCCGAGGAGCATCGTGGGCTCCTGCCACGGTCCCAGCAGACCCCGGGTATGACTGTGGTCCTTCGCCAGAAAAAAGAAAGCACAAGTGAGAGTGATTATTGCCAAAACCTCACTCCCAAAAAAGATGCACCACCCACAGGGAAACATAACGACATACTTAATCACTCAGCAGCAAAGCAAAAGGCTCTTCATATTGGATGAAAGGCCTACCAATCTGCTACCACTCTGCTGAGTGGAGCGACCTGTGTGTAGAAAACTATAATGGAGCCATTTGAGAAAACACAGGTCAGCTCACATGCCTAATTACCCTAGGTTCTAAGACAAATCAACAGAAGACCTCTTTTAAACAGAGATCAGCAAAACCTCCAAGACACTAACACTAGGAGTTGTTTTTTGTTTTTTTTTGGTCTGGTTGTGGGGCCTGAACTCTGGGCCTGGGCGCTGTCCCTCAGCTCTTCAGCTCAAGGCTAGCGCTCTACCACTTGAGCCATAGTGCCACTTCCGGTTTTTTCTTTTTTGCTTATGTGGTGCTGAGGAATCGAACCTAGGGCCTCAGGCATGCAAGGCAAGCGCTCTACCACTGAGCCACCTGCCCAGCCCACTAGGAGATCTTATAACAAATATAGCTCCAGAGATGAAGTAGTAATGATTCTGGAATGGGAGGTGTGGCTCAAGTGGCAGGGCACCAGTTATGAATGAAAACACCCAAAAAGAACTCGAGGGCCCTGAGTTCAAGCTGCAAAATACCAGGAAAAAAAATGGAAGCACATGATTAAAGTTCTATTCTTTTTCCAGGATAATTACTGAATTTCTTTTTTCAAGATAAATGACTACTATGAGAAGCAAAGCAAAAACCCTCCTGGCACTGCAGATATAAAACCTGTGACAAATGAGCAGCAGGAGGGAGTGGTTGCCAGCCCCGGCCTGACCAGCTGTGCCGAGGGCCAGCCATGACCAGCCACGGCTAAAGACCATGTCGACCAACAGGTTGACATATGCCCTAGAGACTTTTTTGAGTTTTTCATGGGGAGATTGTTGAGGGCCAAGAGATGATGCGGATAAAAGGTTCTAAATGCATCCAAATGTATGATAATATCATCACTAATAATAATATTACCAAAACCAGAATGCATTAAAAATCAGTATTCATGCTATGCTAATTGCAATATTAAAACTAAAGAAAATCTCACAATTAAAAGACCTTTACTTATAAAATACACTACAGTACTAACTACTCAAAAGCACATATTAGCATATGAAGTAGGCAAAATGATTCCATGACATCAAGAGAGGAGGCTGACTTTTCTTCCAAAGGAAGAGCCTGTGTGCACTTCCGGGACAGCCCGGGGTCTCAGCACACACTTCACCCCCTGGGAGCTTCTGTGTGGCAGAGGGCATCATGCTCAGCGAAGACTCAAAAGATGACCAGAAACACTTCTCCACCCCCACGACCCCCACCTTCCACAGGTTTGGTTTGTTTTCAATTTTGATTCCAAATTGTTTCATTTTATCTGGTTTAAAAAATACTGTGCTGTATCTTTTGAGCTTTGTTGAGAATGATACTGGCTTCTTCCACTAGCAGAAATGCATCTTCAAACTTGTCAGAACTTTTAGAGTTTGTTAGAATACCAGAAACTTTCTGTTGACTATACATGGATACTTCCAATTCCAAATGATTTCCAAAGAGCTTTAGGAACACAAACACATCTTTTAAAACAATGTGTTGTTATGTTAAAGTCTAGGATCGTACTGTTCATCAGATCATTCCTCATATGGTCCTGTGGAAGAAGCCGTGTCCCCCATCTGCAGAAGCATGCCCAGCAGAGCTCAGGGGAGAGTAGGGGCGGCTGGGAGTGAGGGAAGTGAGGGGAGGCTGGAATGTGCTCTGCGGGGAGGGAGGTGCTGCGGGGCAATCAGACGCAGGCTGTAACCTGCTTCCAAGTGGCGTTTTAGGTGAGTCAGAGGAAGTGTGTGACTGAAAACCAACACAGCTAGAACAGAGTCCTAACTACAATACTGCAGTGCTACCAAACACGTGCCACAACACTAAGGAAGTATCTACGGTTCTGCTTATAAAATCAGACACAAGGCTGGTAACACTATACTTCACAATTTACTCTATTTCCATAAATGTCTTAAAAGGCACCAAATTCTCGCTATTTGTTCATATAGATTCTACAAAACAAGATTTAATTTTGGCTTCCAGAGTGACGACCCCCCCCACCAAAAAAAAAAAAAAACACTGTGCCTTCCAAGTTAATTTAAGCACTGATTCAGGTGGGAATGAAGAATTCTGCCCAAACTCTACCCTAAGTCCTAGAAAAGTCAGCTTCTGGCACAACTGCTGAGTCCTACATGTTGATGTGGAACAACACAGAACTAAGGATCATTTGCATTCTCTAAAACACAAACTACTGCTACTGTGTTGAAGAGGTTTGGTGCTACAGTTCCACTTAATTTACACCCCATCAATGTGAAATCTCAATGTGAATGTAACCCATTAGCTACGCCTTAAACCTAACATTCAGTCATGCAGTAGGCAGCTATGGCCTGTGCACTGAGCTCCAAGGCTGCAGCCTTGGCATCCTGCCCATGACAGGACCTCTGTGCTCCAGCCGTCAAATCAAAGGGTGCTAAGAGTGAACAGCAGGTGCAAGCCCATTAAGGCTTTGCTGTTGGTCTTCTGTCTGCTGGGGAGAAAAGGGAATGGAAATGAATGGAACCAGGAAGGGAAGAGAAAGTTCCAGATAACCAGGGTGTCTGGCCTCTGGAGCAAGGAGGTCTGCATTCGGCCAAAAAGGCTTGCTCTTAACCAGTAGAGCAGATGTTTCACCACCTAGTGAAGCTGTCCCGAAAGACACAGCTCACCAAATGGGACAGCTGGCACAGAGCCAAACGTTCTACTCGCCTTTAATAGTGTAGACCTGTATCTTTAGAGACTCTAAAATGTACAAAGGCATTTGCTCAGAGGTTGGAATTACGTGAAGAGGCAGAGAATGAAAACCAAGACCAACAGTACTTTGGGTGATTCAGGGAATGACAGAGGACTGATCAGAGAGATGCAACTTCTTAAAGCATAAAATTGGAGCACTACACGTTCATCAACAGAGCATTAGCCCCGACACCACCATGGGGGGCAGAGTGAGATGATCATACTGAAGGCGATCAAGTGAAGCCCACATGCCAAGGCTCCGACCTCCACAGATCGAACCAGGTGGCAGGTGTGCAGAGATCCAATCATCAAGGCAAGAGAGGCTTGATTTGCCATTCCTTTGTTTACCGCTACCTTTGTAGTGGCTGGGACGGTAGAAGCCTGGTTTGTTAGGAGGGAGTGGGGGCTGGCCTGCTCTGTGAGCGGTACTGTTGGCTTTGGCTGAGGGTAGCTGGAATGAGTTGGAGAGAAAGATGCCATCGGAGGCTGGGCGTGGCTGGCGGGGGGGCTGCTGTGGCCTGACAGTGGCAGGAAGAAGGTTCTCATGAGACTTCCTGGCGCTGGAGTACTTATCCTGACCTGTTGGACTGCCGTCCTCCTCCTCCTCCTCCTCCTCATTGTATGCAACAAACTTGGCAGTGAACAGCGAGTCTGGGGAGAGGACCTGTGTTTTGAGGTAGGAAGCGTTTCGCTGGGGTGGGGGAGGAGGGGCACTGGGCGCGGGGGAGGGGGAGGGGGGCGTGTAGTCCCGTGGAAGCGGAGGTCGGCACAGCCCAGGCTCCTCCGGCTCCAGCAGCCTGCGTGCTGCCTCATCGTGCTGTCTGCGCCTCTCGGCTTCCAGGCGGCTGTAATACCCTTCCTCCTGTCGCCTCTGCAGGCGGGAATAGACAAAAGCACAAGAGTCAGAGGTCAGGAGGAGATCACTGGACCCCCTGGGCCTTCAGAGGCAGTGACAGGTGCACTGCCCATCCCCCCCATCACCACAATGACAACACATCCACAGGACGTCACAATTACTTGAGCGGCAGAGGCAGGTCAGACCAGAGTCTTGTGCTAAGATCTCTGAGGTCACACCTACTATTCCTGACTGCTGACATCAAGCACTCAGAGAATGGAACAAACCAGCTCTTTAGGTCTCCTTTCATTTATGCAACTAGACTTTGAATCCTCTCAATTTTTGCCTTTCTTCTTCCTCTTTCTCCATCTCTTTTTCCTCTCTCCTCTTCTGTTTTGGTAGGGTAACTTACCTTTCATTGCTCTGTTTAAATAGGAAATCATAAATTATAAGAAACATCACTCATTTCCCCAAGGCAGCGATCTAACAAATATGCTTTCCACAGTTCTCAACCTGTATTTCAAATCTTAATAAACTCCCTGATGGACAGAAAATTCCAGCCAAGCATTAACAGCAACAGCAACAAGATACTATGTTCAAATATATTTTGACACATACTGTACATTTTTTTCTGACATACATGTGCACAAACTACATTTGACAGTATTTAAATTCTTTTAACATTTAAAAAGGTAACAGCACAGTTTTGTTAAAGATTGACAAGAGTTTTAGAGCACAAGGAAAAAAATATGAAAAAGGATGAAAAAGCAAACAGAATACCCTGCCTTAACTGGAGTAAATGACAAACGCTATGACATGGAGTAGGGTGAACTGTAAATTCATTTAACCAATGAAAATCAATTAGGAAACCGGTTGGCACTGTAATAAACTTTAGCTCCTATTTTCACACTGTACTGAACTCTCTCCCTGGTACCTCCAGATGCACACAGGTGGTCACATATACATAAGGTGACAGTCTATGTGCACACAGGCGAACACGTGATGTCTTTGCCTCACTTTCTAGGGAGACAATATGAAGAGTAAATGCCAGCCTAGTCACTGCCCTAGACCCGATTTCCTGCCCCATTTTCTTGCTGTATGTTGGGAAATCCTGAAAGAAAGACATTTTTGTGTCCATGTCTGCACAAAGTCACTATTCCTTTGGGCTAGGTAATTAATCTAGACTGACGCCTGTGCCTTTTAAATGGCACTGTCAAGAATCTTGAAGGTATATGAGAAAAAGGTGCTCCATAATACTGTAGGAGGGAGAAACTGAACCTGTCAGTTACACCAAGAGCAGATACAATTACATGACCAAAGTGACCTTACTGAGAACATGAATGCACATTTGCTGTAACAAAGCAAAACTATCAAGTTTGGACATTCTGTAGTAAAAATAAGTTTCAGCTTCTTTTTACAGTGACCATGTGAGTAGAGAAGCAGTTACTAGAACATGTGTATATTCACAGAGCATGGGTTGTAAGAACATAGGTTGGAAAGATTAAGCAAGAATTTCTCAACACAGAAAACAGCCTGGGTCTTTTGCACATGCACACAGTGCTGAGGCGATGAATAGGCTGCTCTGCTGAGGCTCCAGAAAGGCCAAAACTGGCCCACAGTGAGCACTGAGCAGTAAGCAATGAGCAGGCAGTGACCTGGGAAAGAAGTCCCTCCCTAGCAGCCCCAGGGGCTTTCACAGACCACACGCACAGCACCAGAAACCAAGTGGCTCAAGTTCTGGAAGCATCCCACAGGTAAGACTCGCGGGTCAGTGCTAACCACCCCCAAAATCTCCACTCCTTCCAAACTGCTCAGCTACTGCAGGCAAAGCACGACACATTTAGCGGAGGGTAGAGGTCTGTAACACACCAAATCACTGCAGCATCGGGATGCAGGGTGGGTCCTCACACCAGCCCTCTATCCTCATCCAAATGAGACATATCACATCCCTCCATCTTACTTGGATTGTCTTGGAGATCAATCAATCTCATCACTACAAAGAGCTTCCTAAACATGTTTTTTCTTCTTTTTGTGAGGAGAAGGAGGTTCTCTTAGCATAGTTTATTAGACTCTCAAGGAAAGAACTGTTAACAAAAACTAAATTTTTTCCCATTAGAAGTTGTGACACTCAAAGTTTCTACCTTCATGGAAGGGAGGTAAGCAAGAAATACAGCTTCTCTCAAGCTGGACAGCTACCCATCATGCCCCCGGGCAGAGCAGGCCCCCACAGGCTCAGGTAGCAGCCTCCGCACCCAAAGCCCCCACTAAAAACTCAGAGCCAGAAAGGTCTGAGAACTACATTCCCAAGCTCCTATGTCTCAGAATGGCAGAATCAGCTGTCACTTTAAAATTCAACTCATCACAAATTAAAAACACACACACATAAATGGCCAGAATTTTCGGATTGCATACTAAGTTTCCTTATAACAATGTGTTTTTCAGTCACCTCCTGTCTTTACCATCAACCAGATTAAAGTAATTTTAGCAAATAATCTATTTGAAAGTGTTGAGATAACAAACTGTCTTGCTATGTCCTGTTGCCTCACACTCCAACAGAAACTGAACAAGCAACCCTTCACAGAAACAAGCTGCTCCTGTCCAAGAAGCCGCAGAAGCAGAGCCTCGTGCAAACAGGCCCTTTCCCCAGAGCTCACTGCCACGCAGCCTTGGCACTCACGTCTCAGGGAGGGCGGCTCTGAAGGCAAGAGAGCCTGGAGACAGTCCAGAAGAGAGGTAGGCGGGCCAGATGGGGCTAGAGTTTTTGGTCCAGTAACAAAAGCTGGGAGATTCGGCCCTGTTCTGTCTTGTGCATCCTAGATATACACGATTTCTAGCCCCCTCTGCCCTAGCCAATCAATTGTGTTGAGGCTAATTGGGAAAATTTTAGCTGCCCTTAGAGGACCATAACCTTTTCTTCAGCATCTCGCTTTACTCGCTCCTCCTCCTGACGTCGGCGCTCTTCCTCTTGTTTTGATCGATCTTCTGCTTCCCGTCTGCGCATCTCTTCCAACTGCTGCTGACGCCTGCGGTCCTCATCCTGCAACTAACAACAAACTGACTTTAACGGTCACCCGGCCAACAGTACCAGCAGACAGAAAAGCGCACACTAAGACAAGCAGACACACACACACACACACACACACACACACACGTTAACTACAAAATACTAAGCTATGTTACCGCTGGAAGATGATAAAGTTTACACCTTATAGCTATATAATTTTAATAAATTACCTAAATACGTGGTCTACACAGGGCCAGAGTTACTCTTCCATTAATCATGGTTCAAAGAAACAATGTATCTCACACATTCAACAAAGCATGATTTTATTAGAATCAGTTTGTTAGCCAGCTCTGTAACTTAAGACCTTACTGTAGACGGCCCCTGTTACGCATTCCAGAACAGCTCACCAGGCGTGAGAGTCACCTCTCCTGTGGAATGCAGGTGGGACTCCTGTGTCTGTCTCAAACCCAGCTTCCACTGACAGCTGTTCCGAACAGCCCAGCTGTTCTTGGAGAGTGAGGTCTCACTGCTCCTGTGAGCCCTTTGGCATCAACTTGCAGATTCCATCCTGGACTTCAGGAACTCCTTCCCAGCTCTGGAAAACCCAGCTGAGCCATGAAGCCTGGCCCTGAGGCCTGCAGAGGACTCATTCTGGCTTGTTTCTGTCTGCAGCCTTCAAGGCCCTCAGGACTACAATCCCCTGTTCCCCAGCACATTGCCTTAATGGATGCTGAGTCTGACAGTTCTTATGCTAGCCCAGAACTAATGACCTGATTTTCTATTTGGTCATTCAACTTCTGCCTGTTTGAAACAAGAAAAAAGATGCCACTTGTTTCCGCTAGCATCCCAACACTTACATATCTTCACATGCTCTGCATGTGCCTTCTACTTGGCTTCTGGCTCCTCTGTCCTCCTGGTCATTTCTCTATTCATTACAGATTGAAACTATCTTTTCCAAAAGCACCTGGGTTACTGATCAGTCTGTGCCAACATTCAAAGTGCTGCATTCCCCATTTATTCTCAGTCATGGAACTGAGCTATAGGAACATGCACAAATCCTCAAGACAGGTGACCAAAAACCTTCAGATGAAAATGGAACTCTTAAGTCATCTAGCTCAGTCTCTTACCTAAAATTCCTATAGGATACACTTCCATTTCTGCATATTCACAGCTGAACCTTAAGATACTAACTTCTCCACTTGGACTGCTACCTACTTCTCTGAAACAAAAATCTAACCATTTCTTTCCTTACTTTTCTATAGAACAAAACATTCTATCTGGTGGCAAGGAATAACCTGTGGCACTGTTTTTGTGTATCTATAAACAATAATGAAATAAAAAATTTAAATTGTCTTCTCAAAAAGAAAAAGAAATTTGACTTTTTCCTTTGCACAACTAAGGAACAAGGCCATGAGGGAAAACTGGTTCCAAGACAGGTCTGACAGCAAGGGATCGCAGAGGAGCCACAAACCCTGCTCTGAGAATCCCAGGGCACCCTGGCTATCTGATCTGCACCTGGAAGGATTGTATGGCCAACTATGGTTATTAGAGCTCCGGTAGGAAGACAAACAGCAAGAGGACAGGAAACATCCTATAGGAAAGCAACTTAAGGAAGAATACACAGTTGCACTAAAGTATCAGAGGTTCCCTACTCCAATAATGATCAGAGGAATTTCAGCATGTTGGACTTCTAGACCTAATGGAAACCTAGTTCTGAATAAGAAAATAATGTACAATTTAATTCTTTTAAGCCAAATATAAAGACAGGACAATTAGAATTCAGTAAAAATGCTATCTTATAAATCTGTAAACAGGCATTTTTTTTTCTAAAAATTCTTCATTCTAGATCTGGATGGTCGGTTGTAAGCAAGGAGACTTCTCCTTGAGTTTAGTTCATTTGTTACTGTTTTTAAAATAAAGACAAATTTACTATTGCTATTATTATTAAGGTATCTAAGCAGTAACCCTCTGGCTGTTATATGTATTCTCATTTATTTATTTATTTGGTTGATCACGGGGCTTAAACTCGGGGTCTAGATGCTGTCCCTGAGCTCTTATGCTCAAGGCTAGCACTTTACAACTTTGGGCCACAGCACCATTTCCAGTTTTCTGGTGGCTAATTAGAGATAAGAACCTCACGGATTTTCTAGCCCGGGCTGGCTTTAACTGCAATCCTAAAATCTCAGCCTCTTGAATGGCTAGGATTACAGGCATGAGCCACCAGCACCCGGCTATATTCTCATTTATAAAGAAGGAGAAGGAAAAACCTTTCCTCACTTCCCTCCCACCTCTAAAGCATTAAGGAGAGGGGGAAAAAAAGTTCTCTGAATTTACTCTAGACAACAGTGTCCTGTGCTGTGCTCAGTGAAGGTTAAAGGCTAATATATAACACCTAAGTCCCATCATGCCTGAGCATCACACCCAGAACCGAGGTCTAGATAAAGGACCCTGCTGTCAACATGTCAGTGAAGACCAAGTTCTGCTACCCTGGAAGTCCACATCCCTAACCACCAAGTTATTTTCAGATTAAAGACTTGTGCAGGATGGCGGGGCACCAAGTGGCTCATGTTTGTAATTCTAGCCACTCAGGAAGCTGAGATATGAGGATCATGGTTTGAGGCCAGCCTGGGCAGCAAGGTCCATGAGACTCATGTCATGGCTCAAGGGGTAGAGCACTAGCTTTAAGCAGAAAACCCAGGGACAGCCAACCAGGCCTTGAGTTCAAGCCCTAGGACTAGTGCACATAGTGCATACTAGTGTACACATGCATGCACACACACACCTTGCAGTTTGAGATTTGTGTGTTCATAATTTTATACTACAAAACATATTGTCTTACTGCCTTTTCATTTAAACCATGTGAATATAAAATGGGGTCATAATACCATTTTCTTTTTGACAGTTTTGCAGAGTGCACAAGTCTCTTAAAGCTCTTTAAAAGAAAACAAAACACCTTCCCTTTGTTTTTTTCTGCTTATACTCTTTTTCCGTTAAACATGCCTGAGTAAATGACGGTTACTTTAGCGCTCTGGCGCTCTGAGAGCCACTGAGAAGCCACTCCCCTATCTATAGTCAGATGTACCCTCACAGCAGCACTGTGCACACATGGGCAGGGGCCACCTGCAGCGTGCCGCACTCCCTTTCCCTCTTTTTCTTTCCTTTTTAAAGATAAATAAGTTTTTCTCAGAAGTTAAAAGACATAAACTCAGCTGATATAACACCAGGGTAAAAGATAAGTCCCACAGCAGCAGGTTAGGCTCAGAGGCCCAGGCTATACCTGCTCCTACAGGGTAACTCTGATCTTGTCTATCATGTGAGTTTTATATTTACTTCATAATGCATACCTGCTTGTCTTAAAATGAACACACCGCTCCCAGTTCAATGCCGCCTCCTGTAGCATTGCCCCCAGGTAAGGCCATGGTGAACTTTGGATTCAATGTCTTCTAAGTCTAGGAGGTGCCGAGGGTTATGTCTGGTGCAGGAGTGTAGCATGTGTGCGTGTGTGTGTGTATGTGGAGTCCAGCTCAGAAGAGTCATGGAAGTCTCTGAACATATGCTGTCGCTGCAGCAGCCCATGATAAAAACTTTTGAGTTCTCATACTAGTCAGAGCCTCAAGGACCACGTGGTAACAAGTCAAACTGGAGACAAGCCCACTGAATATCAGTGGGCCTCTAACTGAAAGATGATTCCAATACTGCCACTTTATGAAAAAGGGATGTTACTGTGTAGCAGGAAGAGCACAGATAAGACTTGATGGTAGTTAGAATGCTACCTGGTACTTGGTCTGTGTGACAGACCTTAAGCTTGGCCTTTTACTCACATAACAGGTGTATTGGAAAGAAGTGAGTAATAGAGACAAAAACACGAATGACACAACCTGTCACCAGTGCAAGGACTGGGGCTGCCTGTAAGACTCCAGCGGGGCAGAGTTTTGGCTCTACCTGTGGCTGACATCGTCTAATCCCCGGCCACAACTTAACAGGATACAACAGTCAGAGAGGCTATGTAGTCAGGGCAGGGTTCCACGACATGACTCACCCACTGGAGTTCAGAGAAAGGCTGTGTGGACAGTGTGTGACCATTACCTGGTACTCTAGGGGGTTCCCTAAAGAGATGCATTTTGGTCTGAACAGCTTCCTAGACCCTTTTAGTAATTAAAATCAGGGAGAAGGGAACACTGACTTTATCTCTGGACAGTTAGGAAGGCACGCATCTTTGGGAACTTGAGGCTCTGGTCCTAGAACTGCATTCCCCTCACTAAGTATTACTTCACCATGAACCAAGCCAGAACTTTTTTCCAGCATCTCACTGCCCCTCTGGAGGTGTTAGCTACACCAAACAGGACTGCCTGGAGGTAGGACCCAGTACTTAGTACTGTCCTCCACACATCGGGGAGATCAGGGAGAAAGCCGGCCCAGACTGAAGCACCAAGGCAGCCTTGGGCCTCTGGAACTTGGCTGCTCTGCCCCCCCAGTCCCACGTGCCTCCTACACCCTCGGAGCACAGCACAGCGGAGCACTGCTAGCCACCAGACCTCCCTCTGCCTGCTCATCCTTCCCAGGGGGGTCTAAGGACTGCCTAAGATTCTATAGAAAATTCAAACATGCACTGGGAAACTGAGCTAAGAAGTGTTCAGACACATGGGTAAGATCAGTACTAACATTCAAAATACTCTCTGAAAGCAAGAGAAAACCTTTTATTTTGGAATATAAACCTTAATACAGTCATTCTTATTATTTGTTACAATGTTTATGGAACCCAGTAAACTCTTTGGGACAGGCGTGGTAGGTGGTAGGGCACACCTGTGATTTTACCACTTGAGAGGCTGGGACAGAGGATCTAGAGTTGGCGGCCAGCCAACAACAAATCAAAACAAAAATCTCTCTTTGGACCAAGAGTCAGCTACCACCTTTGTGAGGCAGTGTCTCGGGTCAGTGTGCCTGCTGTACGATGGACGCTAACAATGCTTGCTACATGATCTCTCACAAGAGTTGACTCTCAGTGGAGCGCAGTGGTAGGTGTCTATAGTCTCAGCACTGAGGGCTGAGGCTGGAGAGGTGCCCAGCTGCAGGCCGGCCTGCATGTATGGTGAGACTCTCACCTGATCACTATCTTCCAGTGACTTATAAGGACACCTTCATACACAAAGGGGGAAAGGAACGTATCTATTTATTATGTTTGACATAAAACAATACAAAAGAAAAATGCAGAGCTCAGAAAATATGCCCTCAGATAGCCAAGGAGGAGAGACTTTGGTAAGAAATGTTTCTCTGCGAATCCATCTTCTTCCAAGATATGTGAAGTTAAAAAAAAAAAAAAAGGGAGTACTGTTTGGTGAAAATGTCATTAAAGTAAAACTAAGGTTAAAGATTTATTTTATTTTTGGGACGTGTCTCACTATGTGGCCCAGACTAGTCTCAAATTCTGGATCCTGGGACTATGGATGTCTGTTAGCACACCTAGGGATTCAAGGATTTGAATCTGTCTGATAGTGGCTTTATGGTACTTAGAACAGACACTGATTAAAGTTACTACAAATAGATCAGTCAGAATTAAGTCTCTTGGGTGGAAACATTACTTAAACCCAAGGAGCACTATATGATCAACCACATTTCTTCAACAATGACAACACAATAAATTCACAGAAGAAGATATCTACAAATATTTTTTGGCAGAGTATAAATTGGTACCCTGACCAACTAAACTAAAACCCATGTGATATCATTAAAAAAACCCACAGAATGCATATTCATTAAAGATCTCCCTTACTCTATCAATACACAGTAAACTTTAAAAGTTACATCTTAAAAATGGGAGCAGTACCATTTCAAATTAGTTTATAGCAATTGAATATTTAAAATCTACTTCTAATGGAACAAGAATGAAATTTTATTTCATTTGCTCATATACTTATGACTACAAAAGAATACACAGAATAAAATTGTGACTAAAACTGAGAAGAGATCAAAACCATAAACAAACAATAACACTTAAAATTAACAGATAAAAGCAAAGAGTAACTAAATCTAGTAACATTCAAAGGCATGCTTCTAAATAGTCACAGGGCTAGTCTCCTCACCTAGGAGACCCTGGAGAACTGATCTACTGAGAACATAAAACAGCCACCACCAAAAGAGAAAAGAAAATCAAGACAGGAAAAATGTACCAAAGGGAAAGAAACAAGAACATACCAAATCTAGAACAGAGATTGCTGGCATAGCAGTCTGCTGCAGGTAACAGAGAAGGAAAAAAAAAAGAAAGTGAAGTGTGAAAAAAAAAGTTAGGTTTAGACCTGTATTCATTCCGCCACCAGCATTCTTTGTTGCTCTCATGCTCCATCTGTTTCTGGATACCCGATGAGAAAACTAGGGAACCTCAGACTAACGTCTAGCATTCAGAAAGAGAAAATATCTACACAGTATTAAATACTTGAGTTTCATTAGTAAAAGACATGAAAACTTAGAAAGCAAAATTTCCCTTAGCTGTCTTATGTGAAGAAATTATTAACATACATATAACACAAATCCTTTTTACTAAATCAGCATATTTATGACAGTCTGTGCTAGCATCCTTTGAAATATTCAGTAATCATCTGGAAGAACTATGATAAACAGAAGAGGTTAATGGTGGCAGTGCTATTGTAGGTGCTCACGCTTCACTGTGGGACACTGCTAGACTCATTTGCCATAGATAGCAGGCCCCAAGCGTGACTACAGTAAAGTCACCGCTCCTTGCAGGGAGGGCGTGGGCGGCACGAGGCCCCGTGCACACTTAGCTGTGGCGTAATGCTCCGAGACTGGTGGGAGCAGAGCAGACACATCAGCACCGGTGCCGCTAAGTGAAACACATAGAACTGGGAGCCCAAGAGCTCTGACCAGGAAGTGCATGAGAGCTATTCAACCTACCTTTCAGGCTACAGTCTCTGTCACTGACCCCATAGCTGTTCTTTCAGATAAAATACTAATGAAGCAGTGTAATAGTCAAAATTACAAATTATGTTTTGGGCTTACTTAAGAAACTTAAGAATCTCCAAAAGATTCCATCTGAATTTTGGGCAGTTATGAATACATTTAAGCTGAAGTAGATCGATGATCGATAATCAGAAGTAGGTGTGTTGAGAGAGATTTTGCAGGAAAAATTCAGAGCAAACTGAAAAGGACCACTATTTTGGCTTTGGTGATTTCATCAAAAATTACGTAAGTTAAATTCCCTCATGAGGTCAAAAGATAAAAGTGCTGTCTAACATCTATTGAGCCTTGTTATAAACAGCCCAAGAGCTCAAATGAGCCCCCTCCTCCCTACCCCCCACGCCTGCCTCTGTCCCTGCCAAAAAAAAACCCCAAATTTTTGGTCATCTTTTCTCATTAGGACTGTGCTGAGTAGGTAGAAAAAGTATTACTGAAACTCGTAACATGGCAGCATGGCACTCTCCACAATCAGTATTAAATGCCAGAATAACGATAAATGACCCAGTTAACTCTCTTGATAGGGTTAACAAAGAATTTGGCTTTCATCTAAAAATCATTTTAATAATTTATTGTACTAAACTAACTTCAATTTTTAAAGCTTTTATTTGAAAAAAATTTATATGGAGAGATAAACAAGATAAAAAGTTTTTGGTGTTTTTATGCTACAACTACAATTAATTAAACATTTGCTACATCAACAGACATTTCAGTTTACAAAGGTTCCGTTTCTGGAAATGATCCTGATCTTGACATCTACTATCTGGCTCACATCAAGACCAGGGTCACGACTGCCTGCCACATTTCTGTGTAGCTTCATCGGCATGCACAGCCATACCCACTGGCTGTTTCCCATTCTAAGGCAAGGCTGAGTGGTACATATACACCATCTACCAAGCCTCAGGTGTTTAACATTGGGACCTTTAAGAAAAAAAAACAAAAACTGCCAATCCCTGATCAACAAGTTGATTGTTCCTGGGTAGTTATTAACTAATAAGTGAAGTGTTCCTGAGAATAATTATGTGAAGTCATTACCTAAAACAATAAAGCTCCACTTAAACTATATTTATTCTTGTCAAAATACGTCTCAAAACATTCCAGCCCTAACGACCTAGCTCATTCTGTAGAACCTCAGCCAAGAATAATATCCACAGTAAATGGGGAAGGCCCTTCCTCACAACCGAAGGCTTCAGCTGTCCCTATAACAAACACACAGAAGCTGGAAGAGGAAGCAAAGCTGCACATAACCCAGCCATTCTCCCCTTTACCCTGGCTCTTCGCTCAGCCTCGAGGCGCTGCATGATCAGCATGGTATCCACATCGTCATCCTCCTCCTCCTCGTCATCCTCATCTTTCTGCTTAGCCTCTTGGAGCCTCTTCTGGAACTGCCACTCCAGCATGAGCTTCCGCAGGCGGTCACTCTCCTCCGAGGTGCGGTCTGCCTTGCTCTGCAGCTCGTGGATCTCCCTGCTGAGCATATCCACGATGTGCATCTGCTGCTGCTTTTCTAGCTTCTCCCTGGCATCTCGCTTCCATGGGTCTGGGGACAGGCTGTCCCCAGAGGACAGCTCCTCTTTACTGATGGTGATATACTGCAAGTCTCTGCGCTCGATTGTGCGGGGCTGCTGCTGAGGCTGCAGCTCCCGAATAACCGTTTCCTGAGGCCGTGGGAGTGTAGAAGGTTTTTCTGGCTTTGCTTGCTGTGCCACCACGGGAGAGAAGGGAGCAGGGTTCAGGGACTGGGTACGCATCTGTCCCAACTTCCTCTCCTGTTCCCTGCGCTTCCTCTCCCGCTCCTCCTCCAGGCGGGCCTTCTCTTTCTCATACCACTTCTGATGCTCTTCTCGCTTCTTCCTCTCTGCGGCTGCCACCTGAGCAGATGGTGGTCCCACCTGGCTGGCAGGAGGCGGTGGGAGAGGCAAGTCCATCGGAATCCCATCAAAATCGCTGGTGTAGTGGATAGGAAGTGGAGGTGGTGGTGGAGGCAGGTCGGTTCGAATGGGCTGAGAGATAGCTACTGGTGTGGGTGGCACCACGGCTGGGGTTTTCCACCGGCCAGGTCCGCTTTTGGTCAGTGTGGAAGCAGGGGTAACCGACTTGGAGGAGTGGTTCAGGTGTTCTTGGCTGGAGGAACTGGATTCCACAGAGGAACTCTGATTGATCCACATATCGCTATCAGACTTGCGATCCATGGTGCTCTCGACTCGGTGCCTCTCAAGTTGGTAAGCTTTCTCTTCTCGAAGCTCTTCTTGGGAACGGGTAATACGCTGGGAACAGAAAAAGGGAAACTTCTGTACTTTAGCCACTCACCACAAGAAATTACCAAAAGCTCAGACGTGCCATTTCCCTGGACTCGAGGGAAAACTGTAGGAGGAGTGCCTGGGCTAAGACTGTGACTGCTCTATAGCTGGTGGTCAGATGGGATCTGCCCAAAAGACAGAAAAGATGCACTTCTTGTCTGACCTACCATCGCTCAGGCCTATCATGGACCATGCAGTCCCTGGTGCTCCAACAGCAGAACACAAGTGCATCTGTACAGCCCTGCAGTGGAGCCAGCAACAGGGCTGACACATCTGTATGCGTGAGTCTAACTGCACCAAGAACATCTCTAAGTAACCCCTGTGACGAAGTCCAGTTGTTCTAATTACTACACCTTCACCATTTTATCCAGTCAGAGAGCCATTTTTGAATGCGTTCTAGAGCTCAGGAATAGCTTTATGAGCTCTTTGATAGAGCCATTTATCCAAAGACAAGTTATTTTAGCTGAGATGTTTCTGTTCCAATCTTGGAAATGTAAACCCTGCATCTGCTGCTGACCCCATAATTTTGCACCTGTTGGCTGGCGCCTCCCCAGCTGGCTATCAGAAGTGTGTGTCATCCTGGCAATGTAAGGGAAAGCATCTAGCACTCACAGAACTAGGTCAATGCAGGGCCACCTAGGAGGCGGCAGCAGAGTGGGGGACCAGGCCAAAGGATCACGTCCTGCACACTGACTCCTATCAGCGCCTCTCTGTTCTCATCGATCATGGCTCATTTCAACTCTAAAGTCTTTTCCTGGACATGCTAATGGAAGACTGATTACCTTTGGAATCCCTGCGTCACCTACTTCCAAGGCAGGGTTTTTTGTTTTTTTTTTTTTTTTTAATTGTGAAAATACCGTACAGAGGCAAGATAACGAGTACATTTTTTATCAAGCATTGTTGCCTCCTCCTTTGTTTCCCCTTCCTATACCTTCCCATGCCCAATCCTCCCCCACCCTCCCACCAAAGTTGTAAAGTTCCCCCCATCTTCCCCCCCACCAAAGTTGTAAAGTTCCCCCCCATCTTCCCCCCCACCAAAGTTGTAAAGTTTGTTTTTCAACATATCGACTTGTACATCTCATTGTTGCAATGGGTTCACCTGTATCCCTATTTAAACGATTTGTTTTTTCCCTTCCCCTCCACAAATTACACCAACATCAAATACAGTGAAAGCAGGCCAAGGCAGGGTTTTTATCCTTAAGCGCTACCCTAGATTGTACCAATTTTGGAACTCCCAATCACAGCAGAGAATGCTCCCCCACCTGACCAGCCTGACACTGCCATTGTTACCAATCAGCGCCTCATCAGCTTTCCAGGCTTCTCCACAGGCCCCAGAGCTGTCAAAGCCCACAAGTCTGTCTCTCTCTTTACCCTCCGGCTTCAGCCTTTTTCCCTGGTACTCTTCCACAAAAGCAGCGGTGACAGAATCTGGAGACCATCACTTGGTAGTGCCTGCCTCTTCGGCAGCGTAAGTGCACTGTATGAGCATCGGCCTCATTTCCTAACCCTATCGCAGTCCCTCCGGTGGGACTGACACAGGGTAACAAGTGTCAGCAAAGTCTCGTTTATCCCTCGAGAGCACCCTGGAAACCGCCTCAGGCTTTGTATTACTAACATGTCACTAACCAAACATTAGAACACAGAACCCCTCTTCTTATTGCATATTCTAATCTCTCCTTTTAACCCCAAACCATGAAAGAAAAAATAAGACAATCCTGTTGTTGTGAAGGAAATAAAAGCAACTGTTCCTAGAAGTCACTGCTTTTATTCTGCTGAGTGGTCTGCCTTTGAAGGCAGAGAGAAATCTGATGAACCCCTCATTTCTAACCTGAATGGCAACACTGGAATGACTACTATCTGTGTGCATATGTGGCTTTTCCTCATAATTTGGCCACTGGTTCTGGGGAGGAGCCATCCGATCCTGGGACTTGGAGGCTGGGAAGGTAAAATACTCCCGGGTGTATGTCTGGGTGGGGATGGGGTAGGCCTCAGGTCTAGGTGGAGGTGTCTGCTCCTGCAAAATGTGAAGAACAAAGAAAGGTGAGCTCTTTATAACTGTGCAAAAGACTAATCTCTAGTGATTTGTTTTACAAATTCAAAACTAATATACATGCTAAGTTCTGTTTTAAAAATTAAACTACACTGTAAATGAAACACATTTTATTCAGTTGTGTTAACTTAATTTACCTAATTACTATATTAAAAATTGAGAGGTTAATGACGTAGATTTAGGAATTGTAATCATGCTAATTTGGTGAGAAAGATCAGGTAGTCTAAGAAAGCCCCAGTACTACACAGCCAAGCCTTCCAGCTTCTCTCTCAGACCTCAGTGCAGAGATTTCCAGTGGAGACAGATGTGATCTTAGCTGCAGTTCCAGAGGCATATGTACTCTTCCCGCCAGGACTGGGAGGTTGATCTGTTGGGAACAGTCAAGAAAAAGAAGTTCCCTAGTAAATAAGGAAATCAGAGACAGTAGTCATATTTCGTGAATTAGCACAATGCTAGTGAGCTGTCTAGCAGAGTGCACAAACAAGGCCTATTAGAAGCTGGTTCCCTCATGCCCACAGGTCTTACACCAGCATAACCCAGACCCAGACCCTGTTGTAAGATGATGACCTGGCCAATATTTCTGGTACATATACAAATAAAGTGAAAAAAAAAATGATGCTTTTCTTACTTGCCACATTGGGGCTGGAACGGTGATCAGCTCTATTTTTCATCAATCTGTCATCACCAGGCAATTTCTTTGGTTCACTGTACTCTGCCCAAGGTAGCTGAGGACTCTCTGGGGAGCCATTTTGAGCTGAATTATTATAGAGCTCAAAGCCTTCACTCTTTGGTCGGGGTTTACCTGAGTTACGACGATCTGAAACTGAAAACAAAGCATGTTCACTCCCCTCTTCTCTTCATTGGTTCTAAGACTATTGTATTTTGGTTCAATAGACAAATTAACCAATTTTTAAATTTCATAAAACCTGTTCTCAACAGAATAAGATGTTTTCAAATATCCTGAGAATACTGGAAACATTTCACTGTACTGACATCTATGAGAAAAATACATTTTCAAAGCTTATCTTCTGATGGACTAAAAGCTTGCCTGCTTAAGTAATGACATAACCATTTTTTTTTTTTGTCGGCCATGGGGCTTGAACTCTGGGCCTGGGCGCTGTCCCTCAGCTCTTCAGCTCAAGGCGAGCGCTCTACCACTTGAGCTACAGCGCCACTTCCGGTTTTCTGGTGGTTTATTGGAGGTAAGAGTCTCACGGTCTCTCCTGCCGGGGCTGGCTTTGAACCGCGATCCTCAGATCTCAGCCTCCTGAGTAGCTAGGATTATAGGCGTGAGCCACCAGCGCCCGGCGACATAACCATTTTTAAAGGAAACTATCAACACGTTTCTGTTAGTTCTTTGTTTCTCTTTTGGTGCTGGTCCTTGGGCTTAAGCTCTGGGCCCTGCACTATCTCTTGGCCTTCTCACTGACACTCCACCCCTTGAGCCACAGCGCCACTTTTGGCCCTTTAATAGTTAACTGGAGATGAGTTTCATGGACTTTTCTACCCGTGCTCACTTCAAATCATGATCTTCAGATTGTAGTCTACTGAACAGCCAGAACTACAGGTGTAAGCCACCAGCACTACTTGTCTTTTTTTTTTTTTTTTTGGGTCCGGTTGTGGGGCCTGAACTCTGGGCCTGGGCGCTGTCCCTCAGCTCTTCAACTCAAGGCTAGCGCTCTACCACTTGAGCCACAGAGCCACTTCTGGCTTTTTTCTTTTGCTTATGTGGTGCTGAGGAATCGAACCCAGGGCCTCAGGCATGCAAGGCAAGCGCTCTACCACTGAGCCACCTTCCCAGCCCTTGTCTTAATTCTGAGTTATCATCTGGTGTAGTGGCAGCATGTCTCTGCTCTAGCCTTCCACTGTAGTTTCTTGCTGATTCTGCTATTATGACCTATTTTTCCACTTGGTTTCTAGCTCATATTCAGGCTGTTATCATGCCTCTGCTGTTGCTCTTGAAGTGTTGCTATCAGTTACAGCAGTAGGTTCAAGAATATGAAGTTCCCCAAATCCTAACTTAGAGAGAAAATGGGCTTGAGCCAAGACCATACTTTTTAGGCAATGAACAGGTTAAACAGTGTATCATTTAGATTGACCTGGAAGGCCAAAGATAACTTAAGGTTTCTCAACCAGTTCTTTTTAAAAGCCCAAGAGTTTCATTGATTTTGTTCTGAGGTTTTTCTTCTTACATTGTAACTATAAAACCTATTCCAGAAATAAACTGAATTTTTCATTGGAAACAAATTATATATAACATGATAATCATACTTATTTCAGCATATTCAGGACTGAATATGACTGAAATAGCCACTGATATGCAAATGCATGTATACGTGTATATATCCATTTATATAGCAATATCTTCCTTTGGTAAACAATGGCCTGCATTTCTAAAGACTACTCTGAGCTTGCCTATCAAAACTCAGTTTGTTGTCCATACTGGCTGAGGGCCTATTCTACACCAGCTACACCTGCCTAGCTCTTAAGCTATGGAAGCTCAAGAGGAGCCAACTAGCCCTATATTCAATACTGACAAAATGCCCAGTTCCCAGAGGGCTCCCCACAGTGTGGCTTGTGCCGACAGTGAGAAGAAGCTGATAAAGCAAGCATGGGCTCCGTGGCCAGATGGCACTTGTCTTACCCTTGATCCAGTACTAGTCCTTGACTGCTTGCTTAATACACTCATTATCAATTTCCTGATTTTGGAATTGAGCCAATTCCACAGGGTTTTTTGTGACTAACAGAGAGAGATTATAACTACAAAATACATGTCACAGTAGGGAATCAGTAAAAGCCAGCGGCCCTTGTTCCTGGTCCATACTTCTCTGCATCATGGGAGACGGCTGGTTGAGGAGGGTGGCCAGGCCGTGATAGATGGCACCTTGCTTTGCTACTTCAAGTGTGACCACAGAGCTCGTTCTTGTCATGAGTTCTGCTGCCCTAGGAAGAAAATGTTCTAAGTGTAAGAAAAATGGAACACATTCATTAACTGTGGTCAAAATAACCAACGCTGCTATTTGGGCAATAGTTCTAACTTCCAGACAGATTACCTTTGCCTAAATCCTTCCTCTGAATATGAAACACACAAGTATGAAAACATATCCCATGGTATCATAGTAAAAGAATAGTAAGATGATATTCAAAAATTCACAAAATCCCAAGCCAAGATATACTCACTTTCACACACACACACACACACAACACACACGCGCGCGTGCTCAAAATAAACTCTTGGTTAAACCACATTCAATGAGACATGAAATGGCTTGTGTACTAAGAGATTTACACTTAAAAAAGTAAAGAAAAAGCCAGGCGCTGTTGGCTCATATCTGTAATCCTAGTTCATGAGGAGGCTGCGATCAGAGGAGTACAGTTTGAAGCCAGCTCAGGCAGAAAAGTCCATGAGACTCCTCTCCAACAAAGCACCGAACAAGTGGTGTGGAGCTATGGCTCAAGTGGTAGTGCACTAGAGAAAAAAAGCTCAGGGACAGCACCAAAGTTCAAGCCCCAGGACCAGCAAAAGATAAAAGAAAAATAGGAGCAGAGTTTGAATATGATTTTGTTGTCTCCCAATTTAAAAATTAAATGCAAAATGTCATCAAACATGTTAAACCGAAGCCTTGGACAAACCAGTCTGTACCTTTCCTGAGAGAGTCCAACAAGACTCCGTCCATCCACGCTGAGCAGCTGATCACCTGCAGCTAGACGTCCATCCTGAGCCGTGCCACCCCCAAGGTGTGCAGATGAGTCAGGGGGAAAAAAGGGGGAGAAAAACGTAAGTCACATTCATTCTTCCAGCCAGCCCCATAGAGTGCTGCATTACTGCAAGCACCATGACACGCTCATGTCATCTGTTCAATGCATGACACATGGAAGTGTGCTTCTCTGGAAATAATACTAACCACATCTGCAGCTCCTCCTTTCACGACAGACTTGACATAGATCCCAAGTTTGTCCTGACCAGCACCCTGTACAAAAATAAGTAAGAGCCAACAGACACATGAAGAAATGCTCAACCTCCCTAGTCATAAAAGAAATGCAAATCAAAACAACATTGAGCTACCACCTCACTCCAGTTAGAATGGCTAAAATCAAGAATTCTAATAACAACAGATGCTGGAGGGGATGTGGACAGAAGGGAACCTTCTGTAAATTTGTTCAACCACTTTGGAAAGCAGTATGGAGGTTCCTCAAAAGACTCCACATAGAGCTCCCCTATGACCCAGCAATCCCACTTT